AGATAGCCCTAATGTAGCTCTACGCGAAATTGTATAACCAAGATAGCCCCGAAATTGTATAACCAAGATAGCCCTAATGTAGCTCTACCGGGCTATCTTGGTTACACGCCCTTAATTCTTGAAGTGATTGACTAGGAGGATTTGTTTGTTTGTTTGTAATTAAGCACAAAGCTACACAATGGGCTATTTGTGCTATGGCCACCATGGGTATCGAAACCCGGATTCTAGGGTTGTAAGTCCGCAGACTGTGGGGGCAGACTAGTTAACATCACCCGCAACAAACAACTGGACTACTCTTCACCACTGAATGGTGGGATTGCCCGTAACAATGTAACATCCCCCGCGGCTGCAAGGTTGAACATGTTCAGGGATAGGTTTCGATCCCACGACCCATAAATTTTGGGTTCTAATCTATATTGAGTGCTAATAAGTTAAGTGAATTCACGAAGTTGACACTTTCACAAATAATAAGTTTAATTACGGCGTTTAGCAGTTACACTGGATAACTGAAACGCACAGCAGAAACCGTTTTGTGTAGGTCAAATTATAGTTCTCAATATTACTAGGTCAGGTCACGAAACCCATCTATACAACAATTTATAAACATTTAGTGCAACTCTGGGTCTAGTACAGTTTGACCTTTGTTGGATAGTCCGCACAAACTCTGCGTGCATCCACCCAGATGTGACCTGCATAATGACCAGATCCAATGACCACTCACAAAGAAGGTAAACAGTTTCTCGAGAGTCGCTACGTTACAAAGAAAATGTTTGTTTCGCGCAAGGCTACACAAAAGTTATCTGCGTTAGTCGTCCCTTATTTCGAACAGATAGAGTAAAAGGGGCTACAGCTGGTAAAACTCTCTAACTCGTGGGCTTCTCTTATTGTATAAGGAGATTTCACCGTCACTTTAATAATGTGCCCACGTCCACAGAATAGGAAATACTTCTTCAGGGCAAGGGGAATCGAACCATGGACCCTCGGACTCGCTGTCTAGCACAATTAACCCTAGGTCACACCAGGCACAGTCGTGAAGAAAAAAAAACGAAGAAAATGTCTGAGAAAGAATAAATATTACGGGGGATGTAGTATACAGTTTATAAACAAATCTTTCAAGAAGTAGTCACTTGTAAACAGAGGCAAGAAGTAGTCACTTGTAAACAGAGGCAAGAAGTAGTCACTTGTAAACAGAGGCAAGAAGTAGTCACTTGTAAACAGAGGCAAGAAGTAGTCACTTGTAAGCAGAGGCAAGAAGTAGTCACTTGTAAACAGAGGCTTTTTCATCACATAAAGAAAACAATTATTGTGAACGGAGGTTATTCATCACGTAAAGACGAAGAACGATAATTGTTAAAGATTAACTAGGGAATTCTGCAAGTAAGCTTATTTGTGAGTTTCTGTTGAAACGTTGTTTGTGAAGTTAGGCACACCAGTGAACGTAAACTGTAGGAAACGTTATTGAATAAATAAACTGGTTCGTTATCGTTAAGTGGACTGCATTACTTCGAGCAACAATAAGATACGTTACAACAAACACGGTGTATCTTGCTTTATGCATTACGTACAATTAAATCTAGCATGTTATACTCTAGAACTTTACATTTATTGTTCTGCTTTAGGGACAGTATGATAACTGTTTCATTTGTTCGTGTGGTCAAATAGTTTCTTTACCATTAAAAATAATACAACGTTAAAATCACAACACACAATAAATAGTTATTAAAAACAGGAACTTGCTTTATCTAGAAATATGATTTGTAATTCTGGGTAGTTTAGGCACAGAGGGCGTTATTGATACGTGAATAATTATGTGGGTAAAGAAGTCCCTATCATGCCTTTACCGTTACTCCTAAAGATGCACCGAAACATATGTAGTTCTTTCTTTTTTTTAGGGCAAATCCCGGTTTTTAATAACTCTTTATTGTTTAATGATTTGAAAGTTGTATCCCTTCTAATTATAAATAAATGTTGTACACAAGTGTCTTTCAGAAATGTCCCGCAAATCTCAGGTCCCCTGTGGCTTAGCGGTAAATCTGATAACATATAACGCTAAAAATTGGGTTTTGATACCCGTAGTGATAGTCCATTGTGTAGCTTTGTGCTTAGAACAAACAAACCTGTGCTAAGAACGATCTACTTAGAGCCGTCCCTAATTTTGAACTAATTTTAGAAGGGGTTAGATTTTTTTTTCATGCTACGGAACATGAAGTTTGGAATAACAATGCTGAAATAAGATATACAATTTAAAATATCAACTCCTCTATAAGCACGTGGATGAGGAATACAGTAGAAGATCCCCCTTTCGTTTTTTCACCCAGATTCTCTTATCAGTACTTTCTATTTTTTTTTCTTTACGTTATGATACTGTAATGTTGTTGTAAAATTACTGGAGTAATATGGACTTTATAGTGTAAAGTTTAGTATTATGTGGTGTTTTACAATCTTGTTCTGGACTTCATAGTGCAAGGTTCATTATTATATGGTGTTTTATTACCTTGTTCTGCACTTCATAGTGTAAGGTTTAGTATTATATGGTGTTTTATTATTTTGTTTTGGACTTCATAGTGCAAGGTTCATTATTCCATGGTGTTTTACAATCTTCTTTTGGACTTCATAGTGTAAGGTTTAGTATTCTATGGTGTTTTCTAAGCCAGTAAATGGAGTACCTTGAGAACAACCCCACATCTGTTTTCTAAGCCTATAAATGGAGTACCTTAAGAACAACCACACATCTGTTTTCTAAGCCTGTAAATGGAGTACCTTGAGAACAATCCCACATCTGTTTTCTAAGCCTGTAAATGGAGTACCTTGAGAACAACCTCACATCTGTTTTCTAAGCCTGTAAATGGAGTACCTTAAGAACAACCCCACATCTGTTTTCTAAGCCTGTAAATGGAGTACCTTGAGAACAACCCCACCTCTGTTCTCTAAGCCTGTAAATGGAGTACCTTGCTTGAACGTAAGTAGGAACTGGATGACTGGTAGTTTTACTTGAACGTAAGTAGTAACAGAATGGCTGGTAGTTTTACTTGAACGTAAGTAGTAACTGGATGACTGGTAGATATACTTGTTGTTCGTTTTGTACTTTGACTAAATAGCTTCACAGAAGTCTAAATTAACGAAAACTGTAACACATAAACTAACGTTTCTCATTTTGTGTTGCTACCGTTTCGGTTAATGACTAAGTGCTAGACCTTTAACACACAAACTAATGCAAGCTTACAAACATACACAAATATTTTGTTGCGAAGTTTGCATCAGTAGATCGACATCCACCAGAAGACAGGTGAGAGATTAAGGTACTCCATTTACAGGCTTAGAAAACAGAGGTGGGGTTGTTCTCAAGGTACTTCATTTACAGGCTTAGGAAACAGATGTGGGGTTGTTCTTAAGGTACTCCATTTACAGGCTTAGAAAACAGATGTGGGGTTGTTCTTTAAAACTACCAGTCATTCTGTTACTACTT